AGAAAGATGCAAAGCCTGGAACCTCCGCTCCAGGTTTACCCCAGGAAGAAAGCAGGGGATGTAGATTCAAAGCAGAACGAAGAGAGAGAAACAAGAGATCAAGTCTCTAGAAGCAGTGACGGCCTAACACGGGGCCATCCCTGTGGCCGCCTCACCCCATCACGGCACCCACGTGCACTGCAACCACTTGCTTACTTGTCTAGACTAAGGACAGGGACAGTGTGTCCCAGGACCTAACAGAATTCCTGGAATGTAAGGACCGAATAAGTGACAGATAAACTAACTCAGTGCTGAGGAGTTAATGGATGAGAAACTTATTAAGCTGTTGGCGTGGCCTAGTCCCCGGCTTAACATTGGACGGTCCTAACCTCTCCAACCATCTCAAAGCAGCAGATAACGCCAGCTTTTGTGCGATGCCCAGACCCTGCAGCGAGCCCAGCTGCAGCACTGTCCATAGCAACTGACTCCCTCAGGGAATCCCCTGGATGAACTCCCCCAGGAGGAGGAGGAGGAGGAGAAAGTGGAGGAAGAAGAGGAGGAGGAGGAAGAAGAGGAGGAGGAGGAGGAAGGGGGAGGAGGAGGCGAGGAGGAGGAGGGAGGGAGGGTGGCAGGACGTTCTGGGAGCTACACAGGTTTCATCCACCTCATCCTCACTGCTTGTCCCTCCCAGTGGTGGGCAGGGCTGTCCCCAGCTCAGGCCGGAAGGGAACAGAGGCCCGTGAGGCACATCAGATGCAGGAAGAAGGAACCAGCGATGCCCGGGAGGCTGATGAGCTCGACCTCCACATCCTCGTTGCTGGGGCAGCAAACTCAGTCCCGCAGGGAGACAACGGCGTCCTGTCGGACAAGCACACAGAGCAGGGGCACGGGCACCACACATCCAGCCCCAGTCCCGCAGGGGCAGCGGCCGCTCTGGAGGTGGCTGTGGACCAGGGCTGTGCGAGCTGGCCCCTCCCGCCTGCCTTCCATGGCGTGACTTTGTCTAACGGAGCGGGTCTGAGCCTGGCTTTCCTCCTCACGAGATGAAATGCTGGACGGAATGACCTCGAGAAGCCTCCGAGTTACCAGCTCTCTCATCCTCAGTGGACACAACGGCACCCAGCCCAGCCCCGGGCGTCTGGGGGGCAGGGGTGCCACCAGCGGAAAGTGGGTGTGTCTCCAGCCCCCCAGATGCCTCGGAAATGGCAGGAGCAGTGGGGGGTGGGGGGTGCTTTCTGACCTGGCTGTCGGCGGCAGGAGTGAGCGGTGCCCTGGACTGAAGACCACAGAAACCACAGCCGTATGTTCCCGTCTCCCGGAGGCAAGCCCTTCTGTCGGAAGCTGAGGAGTGAAGTGTCTGGTCGGTGGCCCTGTGTCGGGTAAGGCTGCCGGCCTGGGATCTCTCCTCCCAGACACTCGCCCCTCGAGGTGCTGTCAGCACCAGTTCCCGGCGGGTTCTGTGAGGCTCCTGGTGGCGTTTCTATTATTACTTCCTTATCCTGTTACTTAAAGCCATTATTGCTGTTTTACTCTTTGGGATAAACGTCCAACGCTACGTACTAACAATTATGCAGTTTCTCAGATGGGAACTTTATGTCCAATGTTATTTCACTGTCCAAAGGCTCCTCTGAGGGAGGTAATATCTCCACGCAAGGAAATGGAAGCTAAGGTCGTGGAAGTGTCCCGTCCAGGCTCACCCCACTACAGCTGAAGTCTTACTGAGGCCACACTAACGATGGTCTTCCACACACTCCCTGCTCCTCTGGAGATCAGGTTCATGTCTTTCAGGCATGGAGCTATTATTCCTAAACTAGAGGCCTGGTGCACGAAATTCGTGCACTGGGGGGGAGGGGTAATGGGGGGGGAGGGTCCCTCAGCCTGGCCTGCACCCTCTCACAGTCTGGGAGCCCTTGGGGGATGTCTGATTGACAGCTTAGGCCTGCTCCCCATGGAGGAGTGCACTGACCACCAGGGGGCAGCTCCTGTGTTGAGCGTCTGCCCCCTGGTGGTCAGTGCGCATCATAGCGACTGATTGTTCTGCCATTTGGTTGATTTGCATATTAGCCTTTTATTATATAGGATTCTTATTCATTTTTCATAGCTAAGAAACATTTGATAAGAAATATTTGAGCCTGGCCGGCATGGCTCAGTGGTTGAGCATTGACCTATGAACCAGAAGATCACGGTTCGATTCCTGGTTGGGGCACATGCCCAAGTTGCAGGCTCGATCCCCAGTAGGGGGAGTGCAGGAGCCAGCTGATCAATTGTTCTCTCATCATTGATGTTTCTCTCTCTCCCTTCCTTTCTGAAATCCATAAAAATGTTTTAAAATTATTTGAGTCTATCCCAACATACTCCCTATAGTTTCAGGGTCATCAATTGAGAGCCTTATGTAATGAAGAGGCCACATTTCATACTGAAGGCCTAGAGTGGCCTTGAGGTAAATCCTGAAGAGCCTTGTGATTCAGAAGCACTGCTCCCGGGTGCGGTGAACAAATGAGTGGCCATTGAGCTTTAGAGAAACCAGACCTGAGGCTACAGTTATTGTGGTTAGAATGAAAGTGTGGAAAGAAAAGATCTTAAGGAAACATATACTATGAGGCTTACCGACTGGGTATGGAGAGTGGCGGTCAGCGAGAGGGTGGACTCCTATGCTTATAGGCTAGAAAGTGGGTGATGTTCATCCTATGCCGCAAGGAGAAAACACCAAGGGTTTGGTGGTGGGCACAGCAGACACAGGGCCCAGTGTGAGGAGCTGGTAGGACAGCGAATAGACGTGTCCAGTTTGATATGTGGCTGCAAAGGTTATTCACTGTTTGGCTTAAAGCCTATAGTTAAGTGGAAGTTGAAGCTGTGTGGTTAGATGAGGTTAAACAAATGTGTAAAATGTGAGAGGAGTAATAAATGGACTGTGGTTTCACTAATGGGTAGGAGGTGATCAGAGGAAGAAGTCATTTTATAGCCCAGGAAAAAACAGGAAGTGGAGTGAAAAGATGATGTTGAAGAGAATTGTAGGAAAAAAATTTGCCAAGGGTATAAAAGTTTAGTGTTTAAGAGTGTCTTAAATTAACCACTGGTTGAAGAAAATTGCTCTGAAATTCCTGCCATGCATGACTTGGACTTGTGGAAACACAGTGAGCTAATCTGTGTAATTTCCCCATTACGTGTCATTCTTCAGTCCCCAAGGCCCTTAATAATAGATATGACTTTGGTAGAGAAAGATGGTGCCGGCAAGGGTCACGGTGGAGACTGCCAAGGTCTTGTTTTGCCTACTTTAGAGTTTTTGTTGACATTCTGAGTGTAAATCCTGTGAGTGTTACAAGGACTTATCTTTAGGGAGTGAGCAGAACGAGGAAGTCTGTCATAGTGAGAAGTCCTCCCGGCTCAGTGCTGGGTGCGTATTGTACGTTGTCATATTAGTCACTCTCCTCAGGATTCAGCTCGACACATAATTTCCTCTCATTTGACACTTTTTTTTTCCTATTTCGCTAAGTTAGAAGCATACCAAATGGATGAGTATGCAGTCAGCATTATAACGTTGACCTGAATATAGTGGAAATGGCCTCATCGTCACTCTTGTTGCCAAAGCCAGTCCGGCGGGTGGTGATGCTGGAGATGAAAAGAACAGTCAGAATGGAGAGGAGACGCGTGGACCATGTCCCCCCACATTCCAACCTGTTCCTCTTACAAAAATGGTCGGGAACTCGGGGTCAAATACCCAAGAGCAACCTCGGATTCAAGTGCAGCGCAGCCCAGCAGACGGTTAGAAGCGTATGAGTGACGCTCAGTCAGCACGGGCGTGGGTTTAAACGCCATGGAAAGACCCCTGTGGCTGGGGTCACATGAGTGACTGGTGCCACCTGCAGCTTCTGTGCCGGGGACGGTGCTACCACCAATGCAGACCCTGCCCGCCCAGAAGGCCCAGTCCACCCCGACATGATTTCAGGGACACACGGCCTTTCCTCTCCACGCCCTTCTCTCTGTAGTTGTCCACTCCACCACCACTCATGCTGTTGCCCTCATTCATCCCGACGGTGTCTGATGACCGGCCCCTGGGCACCGTACTGTGGTGGACGGACAGACAGAAGGACACAGCCAGTGCCATGGGAAGGAGGGGCATGGGGGAGGGGACCCCTCTAGTTAGGACAGCAGGAAGGGCGCCTGGGAGGAGACAGCGACAGGCTCCACGCAGGAATGAGAAAAGGCAGGCAGCCGAGCGGAGGAGGAACACGGAGGCAGAGAGCAGCAAGCACAGCGGCTCGGCCGGAGGGGTGAGTCTGCAGTATCTGCGGACGGACAGAAAGCCAGGACCACAGCGAGAGGAGGCTCGCGGAGACCACGGAGGAGCAAGCGGGGGCGGGTCAGGACTGGGTTTACTGCAACTACAACAAGAAGATAAAGTGAAAGATGAACATGAGTTGCTCTTCTTTCGGCCAGAGAACGAGGCCCGCGCCTGAGCTCCGGGTCCACGCGGCACCTGCTGGGGCCGCCTCAGGGTCCGAGTCACAAAACCGGACGTTCCCCAGCGGCTCCTCTCCCCCCTGCCTGGCCCTGCAGAACCCCTGCCTCTCTCTTCTCCCCTCTGCATGGAGATGTCTACACGCAGCTGGAGGTCTCAGTGATCTCCCCCGAGTTTGTGGAGAGGAACTCCTTTATTGCTGAGGAATAATGTTGTAAGCAGGAAATTTTGCATCAATTTTTCTCTAGAAACACATGCCTTCCTTTTCACTCTTGATGGAACGAGTGCTTCTTGGTGCTAACACCAGGGTACAGTCTCCTTTTGTACAGGAGCCACTTGCTTTCTGCACCCAAGGCAGCGCTCCCAGACCCACCACCAGGCCCTGCCCCGCATTTCCCATCACAGGCCTGTGACACCCCGTGCTCCCGCACTGCCCCCTGGTGGCCGAATGCTTGAACTACAAATCAAAGCTCTCAACGAACCAACTTTTCCAGACGGCTCACGGGGAACTAATCGCAGTGATTATGAGTCTTCCTAATAACAAGATGTCTTACTGCCTGTAAACTAGTTACCATTTTGACTTTTATTAACAACAAAAAACAACAAGAAGGTAGTGAGAAGAATAAATTGTCTTGAAAGGCTGAGGGCTGTCAGGTGAACCTGGGATGAGTGTGTGTGTGTGTGTGTGTGTGTGTGTGAGAGAGAGAGAGAGAGAGAGAGAGAGAGAGAGGGAGAGAAAGAGGTGTGTCTCACATACATACATTCCTGTGCTTTCTTGGAGTTATAGCGCCATCTTGTGTGTTTCTTAGATTCTTATGGAAACCTTTGTTGCCTCCACATCTTGGCAACTGTGACTAAAGCTCCTCTAAACATCCGTGTGCAGGTTTGTGTGTGGACATGTTTTCAACTCGCTGGGGTGACTACCAAGGATCGTGGCCGCCGGATCGCGGTGCAGGATGTTCAGCTTTTAAGAAACCGCCCGGCTGTCTTCCCAAGTGGCCGCACCCTCTGAAATGGAAGTCCCTGCGGCCCCCTCTCCCTCAGCCCTGGGAGCTGCAGTGTTGAACTTCAGCCACTGACAGCGAGCAGTGGTATCTCATGGTTTTACTTTGCAGTTCCCTGGTGACATGGGATATTGAGCACCTTTTCATATGCTATTTGCCATCTGCGTATCTTCCCTGGTGAGGCATTTGTGGGACTCTTTGCCTATATTTTAATGAGTTTTGAGTTCTTCGAACATTTTGGATACAAGTTCTTCATCAGATACGCGTTTTGCAATTATTTCTTCCCAGTCTCTGCCTGTCTTTTCTTTCTCTTGATAGTGTCTTTGGAGAGAAGATTTTTTTATCTTAATGAAGTCATACTTAATGAAGCCAGAAAAAGAACCATCCCTTATGTAGGACACTAACAAATGGGGGGTGGGGGAGGTTAGGAGAAAGTGTGTTAATTTTTTTCATCACAGCAGGGCACTAATTTTACTGTCCAATCAAAATAATAAAAATTAAAACATTTTTAAAAAGAATATATATCTTACAATAACTTACGTCACTTACCATGTTTTAGATATTCATCAATGTTGCATATAATTTTTTCTCAATTGTGTAGTATTTCATTGCAGAAATGTGCCTTTTTGTTCGTTTATCCATTTTCCTGTTGATGGGTCCCTGAATCGCTTTTGGATTTTTGTCTGTAATAAATAACCCTGCTATACTCTTGTAAGTCTTAATTTAAGAGTCACTTTAAATCCTGAGTTGACCTGGGATGTTGAACAATTGGAATCACTCTTCACCCCCCGGTTTCAGCCCAGGTATCATTTCCTTAGAGCCTTAGTCGCCACCTCAGGGAGTCCTGTGTTTCTCCCACCGATTGCCCCCTTCCCCCCCCCATACCCTTTTATCTGCTACAGACGCAGCCTTTATGCTGTTGTAATTACTTGCTCACTTGCCTGTCCCTTCAGGCATTGCAAATTCCCTGGCTAGACCGCTGCAAGGGGGCAGGGTGCACGGGGAGCCAGGAGTCCTCCCACCAACAAGGCCGCAGGCTGCAGGCTCCCCAGCGACCAAACGCTCGGGTTCGTGATCTCAGCAAATCACACAGATGATCAGCACGTCCCCCAACAAGCCTAAAGCGCATAAGGGCAGCCGGTACCCCACGGCCAAGCCGGGAGGAGCCGGGTTTGCGGGCGGGAGACGAGTTCGGATTAGGCCGCTCAGGCACATCACACCGCTCCCCGCTTCCTGTGACCAGTGGAGTCCGTGCACGGAGCGTGCAGCTGGGACGGCCCAGGAGCCACAGGAAACAACTTACACGGGACCTGCCCACTCAGCGGCCCACAGCCGGCGCCACGAGAGGAGCGGGCAGGGTGGCGGGTGGCCGGGGGCTGGTGGGGCACCGGGAGGTCGTGGGGCACTGGGGGGTCGTGGGCACCGGGGGCTCGGAGGATGGACTGAGACCCACCCCTGTGCCCACCGCAGCCTCGCAGCCCACAGTTCCTTTCAAGGTGCACGAATTCGTGCACTGGGCCCCAGTTAGAACTAATAAATGACTTCAGTAAAGTTGTAGGGCACAGAATAAATATGCAGAAATCTGGTCAGAATTCTATATACTAAAATAATGATCAGAAGAAGATATTAAGAAAACTATCCCATTTACAACAGCATTAAAATTATAAAACACCACCCTGGCCAGATAGCTTTGTTGGTTAGAGCAGTGGTCGGCAAACTCATTAGTCAACAGAGCCAAATATCAACAGTACAACGATTGAAATTTCTTTGGAGAGCCAAATTTTTTAAACTTAAACTATATAGGTAGGTACATTGTTATTAACGTAATTAGGGGACTCCTAGGGCTTGGAAGAGCCTCACTCAAGGGGCCAAAGAGCCGCATGTGGCTCGCGAGCCGCAGTTTGCCAACCACGGGGTTAGAGCATTGTCCTATTACACCAAGGTTGAGGATTCAATCCCTGGTCAGGGCACATACAAGAAGCAAGCAATGGACGCAGAGATAAGCAGAACAACAACAAAATCCATGCCTCTGTTTCTGTCTCCTTCTCACTCTCTAAAAATCAGTAAATTAAAATAAAAGTATTAAATACCTAGGAATAATTTTTTAAGAATATTTATTGTTGCCGAGGCCGGTTTGGCTCAGTGGATAGAGCGTCGGCCTGCAGACAGAAGGGTCCCGGGTTTGATTCCGGTCAAGGGCGTGTACCTGGGTTGCGGGCACATCCCCAGTGGGGAGTGTGCAGGAGGCGGCTGATCGATGTTTCTCTCTCATCGATGTTTCTGACTCTCTATCTCTCTCCCTTCCTCTCTGTAAAAAATCAATAAAATATATTTTAAAAAATTTATTGTTGAAAGTATTACATATGTCTCCCTTTAACCCCAATATCTAGGATTAAATTTACCCAAAGAGGTGAAAGACCTGTACTCTGAAAACTGTAAGACACCAAAGAAAGTAACTGAACAATACAAATAAATGGAAGGATAGACCTTGCTCATAGACTGAAAGAATTAATATTGTTAAAATGTCCTTGCTACCTAAAGTAATATACAGATCCTATGCAATCCCTATCAAAATACCAATGGCATTCTTCTCAGCATTAGAACTAATCCTAAAATTTATATGAAATTATTTCTTAATAGCCAAAGAAATCTTGAGAAAGAACAAAGTAGGAGGTATTACGCTCCCCAATATCAAACTATACTACAAAGCTACAATAATCAAAATAGTATGATACTGGCATAAAAAAAAAGACACAAATTCATGGAATAGAATAGAGAATACAGAAAAAATTCCTTGCTTATAAGGTCAATTAATCTATGACAAAGAAGGCAAGGATATACAATTGGGTAAAGACAGTTTCTTCAATAAGTGGTGCTAACAAAACTATACAGATAAATGGAAAATATGAAATTGGACCACTTTCTTATCCTATCTAAAAAAGAGGAACATGGTAATTAGCCATACATCCACTACCCTTCCCATTGGCTAATCAGGGCGATATGCAAATTAACTGCCAGCCAAGATGGTGGCCGGCAGCCAGGCTACTGACACGATCAGAAGGCTTGCTTGCTTCAGTGACGGAGGACTCCAATGTTCCCCACCTGCTGCTGCTGGGCTCTGAGCGGCTAAGAAACATTGTTATAAATATAGAAGCTAAACAAAACCCCAGAAACCTGTTTTCAGTCAGCCGGGATCTCAGAGCTGGAGTCACAACAAAGTTTCTAATACAGAAAGTAAACAAAGCCAGAAACCTGCTTTCAGCAGCGAGGTCTCACAGCTAAAGCTGGCTCTCAGCTCCAGTGACAGCCATAGAATGTAAATAAATCCAAAAATAAAAAAAAAGGAAAAAAGGAGAGGTTGGGAGCTTCAGTCACCCGCCAGCCTGAAAACGGCCCTCAGCCCCTCACCCAGACTGGCCAGGCACCCCAGTGAGGACCCCAACCCTGAAGGGGGTGTGACTAGATGCAAACAGCCATCATTGCCTCATCCAGGCTGGCCAGGCACCCAAGCGGGACCCCCACCCTGATCCAGAACACCCTTCAGGGCAAACCAGCCGGCCCCCACCCATGCACCAGGCCTCTATCCTATATAGTAAAAGGGTAATATGCCTCCCGGCACTGGGATCAGCAGAGCCAAGAGGCCTCCCAGCACCGGGATCAGCGGAGCAGCGAGGCCTCCCAGCACCGGGATCAGTGGAGCAGCGAGGCCTCCTGGCTCTTGGAGCAGCGTGACAGGGGGCAGCGCCCAAACCCCCTGATCACCCTGCGGCTGTGTGTGATGGGGGTGGGGCCACAACCTCCCTATCCACCCTGCTGTTCGTGACAGGTAAAGGCGCCCCAACCCCCTGATGGGCCCTGCTCTGAGCCTGATGGGGGGAGCTCCCCAACTCCCTGATCGGCCCTGCTGTGTGTGTGACAGGGTGCAGGCCCCCATTCCCCCCATGGGCCATGCTCTGTGTGTGACAGGGTGGAGCCCCAACACCCTGATGGGCCCTGGTCTGTGAGTGACAGGGGGCAGTGCCCCAACCCCCTGATCGGCCCTGCTCTGTGGGTGACGGGGCAGCGCCCCAACCTCCCCATCGACCATGACTTGAGTGTGACAGGGGGCGGCGCCCCAACCCCCAAATTGGCTCTACCCTGAGTGTGACTGAGGGTGGCATCACAACCTCCTGATTGTCCCTGCTCTGTGCATGACAGGGGGGAGCTCCCCAACCCCCTGATCGGCCCTGCTCTGTGTGTGACAGGGTGCGGAGCCCAACCCCCCTGATGGGCCCTGCTCTGTGCGTGACAGGGGGCAGCACCCCAACCCCCTGATCGGCCGGTTCTGTTATGTGACAGGGGTGGCACCACAATCCCTGATATGCCCTGCTCTGTGCGTGACAGGGGGTGGCGCCGCAACCTCCCCATCGACCCTGCCTTGAGTGTGACAGGGGGCGGTGCCCCAACCCCCCAATCGGCCCCACCCTGAGCGTGACTGAGGGTGGCATCGCAACCTCCTGATCCGCCCTGCTCTGTGCATGACAGGGACCGACGCCCCAACTCCCCAGTCTGCCCTGCTCTGAGCCCGACCAGGGGCTGCACCTAGGGATTGGGTGTGCCCTCTGCCACCCGGGAGCAGGCCTAAGCCAGCAGGTCGTTATCTCCCGAGGGGTCCCAGACTGTGAGAGGGCACAAGTGGGGCTGAGGGACACCCCCCCTTCCCCACCTCAAGTGCACAAATTTTTGTGCACCGGGCCTCTAGTATCATATATAAAAATAAACTCAAAATGGATTAAAGACTTAAATGTTATACCTGAAACCATAAAAGTCCTAGAAGAAAACATAGGCAGTATACTCTTCGCCATAGATCTTAGCAATTTTTTTTGGATATATCTTCTCGAGCAAAGGGATACAAAAGAAAAAATAAGAAAAAACAAGTAATCCAATTTAAAAATGGGAAGAGAACCTGAGTAGCCATTTCTCTAAGGACATACAGATGGCCAATAGACGTGAAAAGATGCTCAACAACACTAATTGCCAGGAAAATGCACACTAAAACCACAATGAGATACCACTTCACACCTGTCAGATGGCTTCCATCAAGAAATCAACAAATAACAAGTATTGGTGAGGATGTGGAGAAAAGGGAACCATTGTACATTGTTGGAAGGATTATAAATTAGTGTAGTCACTATGAGAAACAGTGTGGAGCTTCCTCAAAAAAAAAAAAAATTAAAAATAGAGCTACCATCCGATCCAGCAATTCCACTTCTAGGTATTTATTTGAAGAAATTATAAACACTAATTCTAAAAAGTATATGCTCCTGTATGTTCCCTGCAGAATTATTTAAAAGAACTAAGATATGGAACCAGGAGTTGGGGTAGGAGTCTGCCCGGAAGACGACACAGGAGTTGATGGCTGGGTGGGAGCTGCTGGCGGGGGAGGAGTCATCACAGGAGCTGTTGGATGCTGTAGAGGTGGCAGGCCAGGGGCTGTGGAAGCAGGAGGTGGTGTCTGGTGCAAAGGTGATTGTGTCACTGGTGGACAAGGCAGCTGGGACCCAAGCATGTTCAGAGGGTTAGGAAGAGCAGCACCAGGCACCTGTCCCTAACAGAGGAAACAGAGTATGTTAACATCATGCTCCCTATTTGGAAATGTGGCAACCAATTTGAAGAATTTAAATGTGTGAAAATCTAATCATGGTTTCTGGAAGAGGTCTACTGGGCACTGAGCTTCAGGAGCATGTTCCATGTGCAAAATCTATCCAGCTGTACACTTATAATGTGTACTTTCCAATAAAGTTACAGGGGGCAGGACAAAATGAGGAGATGAGGGTAGAAAGTCAGGTAAACCACAAAAAAATAAGGCTGGGGAAGCACTGATCAGTACGGCAGGGCCCCGATCAAAAAGCACCAAAGTGACTAAGGAGACAAGGCTACAGCGGGAAGATGTTCCCACCAACTATGGAAGAGGTTAACTAAGGCCAGGGCACCAATCCGAGCCAACCTCTCACTGACGCCTGCTGGAGCATGTGGCTTCCGTTTTCTCTCCTGCAGGAAGCCCATTCTCATCCCCCCCACCCCCCACCTCCTCTCCCTCCCCGGCCTCCTAGCTCTTCAGCTGGGTTTATATTTATTGTTAGAATCTGGGATAAGACTCAAAATATGGTTTTAATTTTGCAAACAAGTTAAGTGTTTAGAAAGCATCCCAAGGTGGCAAGCTCTCAGCCTTCTCTCTACAGATGAGAAAACCCCATTCCATTTCCGCAGTACCTTTGCTGTCTGGGGCTGCCCATTGTTCGCAGAAATGTCACACCATGAAAGACACTTCACTAGCTGCTAAGTGTCTCCAGACCACAGCCTCTCCTTCTTTGTAATGTCCTACAATCCTCTGTAAACTCTTTCCTTTATATTATCAGTTTACCTACCATGTATTTTCCAATATGCAGTAAGATTACTGCAAACTCAAAAAATGACCTTTTCTCCCCTCCCAGACTACTTTACTAACAGCAGAGCCAAGCCTTGCTTGAGAATCTTGGGTGATGTCACCACCTTATTTCACAACCTGTAAAAACACCTTACTGTTCAAGTCTCAATTAGTAAAAGCTTTGAAATGTCCCTCATCCCCAAACTCCCAAATTAAAACGATGGCTTCAACCAAGCAAAAACGAGTGAATTTCAACCTGACAAAGAACCTTTAAAGTTGTTGAGACCAGCTGCCAGCACCCCAGCCTGAGGCAGACTCTCTGAGTGTAAATCCTGCTGGCTAGGCCTGACCACCTGCACTCACAGGGCCCAGAGCAGCCACTGCACTTCCTCCACCTGCCTCCCCGTCCGGTGCTGCTCGTTCCCTGGCCCAGGACTGCCCTGATGCTCTCCTTTCACACATTCAGAAACCTTTCCTTCCCCCACCTACAATGTTTTGTGAGACTCTTCCTAAAAGTAATGACCTCTCTTGAATCCACATACAACTGATATTCATACTGCCTGTGGAAATGAATTCTGCTCATCAACAATAAGGAATGTAAGGAAAAAGAAGCGCTATGAAGAAATAAAGAGGAAGAGAGGAAAAAAGAAACAGTGCACTTTGGGCTGTTGAATGGTAAACAGAAATCTGATTCATAGCAATAGTTAAACACCGTGAGAAACCTGCATGTGATTCACTGGCAGGGGCAGGGGCCCATCTATAAAGGCGGGGGAAAAAGTTATTTAAAATAATCCTTGATTGAGGAATAAGGAATTTATCTTGAGTACTTCAAACTTAAAGAAAAAACCAGTCAACAGGTCCCAAAGCACTGGACATTCGATGCTTGCAAACCCTTTAAAGGACCTCTCCACCAGAGACTCAATGTCTAAACACAGGCCAATGTACAAGGTCATGACCACTATCAGTCTCCAAAGTGTGGGCTTCCTGAGAACATAATTCTATATACTTAGAAACACACCCCAAATACAGAAGGAAAAACAAGCAAACAGATGAAGGGCTGATAGAAGGAAATGAAGTCCTTACCTGGAGGTCTCACAGGTGTGACTGTGGTCTCCCAGGAGGCTACGCCCCGGGGGCTGGAAAGGCTGGCTGGTTACCCAAGATGGCAAAACGCAACCTCCGTTTTTCTTCTTGATCTTTTTCTATTTTACAGATTTTCTCTTCTAATAAGCTATAGTATTCATCCTGAAGAGCAATAACATTAGGCAGTCAAAACTATAAAAAATGATCTGGTTTGTGTGTTCTAAAAAATTAATGAACTTTTTTATTAACAAAGTAAGTGTTCAACACTCCTAACTAAAAAACCAAAGGCCCAAATTCTTGTTGAACTAGTTACATTACAAGATTTAATAGACAGTAGGTACTAAATGCATGTTACTTTTCTTGCCACAGTTGAACCTCTTGGCTAGTCACTGGTGCTGGCAATAACATAGTATAAGCATAACAAACAGCGCCCACATGGACATGGACATGGCGTCCATGGATAACATGCAGTTTTGTATACCTCCTTTACCTGTAGTGGTGGATACTACAGTAAACACAGTTGTGCAGGGACCTAATTTTTTTTTCCTTTTTCTTTTTTCAGAGAGGAAGGGAGAGGGAGAGAGAGAAAGAAACACCAATGATGAGAGAATCACTGATCAGCCTGCCTCCTACAGCCCCACACTGGGGATCGAGCCTGCAACCCAGGTATGTGCCCTAACAGGACCTTCTGGTTCATAGGTCGATGCTCAATCACTGAGCCACACCAAGCAGATGGGACCTAATTTCTTATCTGCTAAGTCTCTCTGGTCAGGCTCCTCAAGGTGATGGGCTTACCCAACTAACATATCCCCATTTCCAGACAAGCCAGCCAGACAGATGCAGTTATATCTACCACCGGTATGTGCAGGCTGGAATAAGTAAGGCAACCTACCTGGCTGTTGGCAGACTCATACATGTCCCCTTCTACTCTCTTAGCGTAGGCCACTATGTTCTCCATGCGGGGATCCTCCAGGGCTGCAGGGTCAGGTGTTGGGAAGATGGCTTGGATGCTAGGAGGACAACATATTCTATCAACCCACTTTCAATACATCAGTATCTTGCCACTTATGTGTGACATGGAAAGAGAAGCTTATCTACCTACAGGGGTGATACACTGTTGAGAGAAATCCCAAATCTCTCTTGCCTAGAATATGAGCACACAAATGAAGTTATTCTCTAGAGACAATACTAACCTGTTGATTTATCTACAAGTCCAAAACAATATTTTGCTTTTAGCAATAAATGCTAGGTCATCTCAAGAATAATACAATTTTTTAAAAAGTATTTTTTATTGATATTAGAGAGGAAGGGAGAGGAAGAAAGAGAGAGAAAAATCAATGATGATAGAGAATCATTGATTGGCTGCCCCGTACATACCCCACACTGGAGACCAAGCCCACAACCCAGGCATATATCCTGACCAGAATTGAACAGCCACCTCCTGGTTCATGGGTTGACGTTCAACCACTGAGCTACACCAGCTGGGCAAGAATAATATGATTTTGAATTCCTACTTTTAAACTATTTATTACAAATTTTTAAAAATTAAAATAATGAAGAAAACTCCAAGAGAATCATTGGTTAACTTCACCTTCAATTTAATTTAGCTAGCTTGCGAAAGTTCACTATTAACTCTGCACGTTCACTGACTATATATATGATGGTACTGATTCACTAGGCCCAAATTCCCCCAATTCTCAGGGGTCTCCAGAAACATAATCTTGAGCCATAAATTAGCTTCTGAGCTAATCCCAGCCCCCTCATGCATCCCAGAGCTCAGAGTACATATCTAGCTGCACTGCGAGTGTTGGCCTCTGTGACATGGCTTATAGTTCATGCTCCTCTACGGGGTAGAGCTATGAATGCTCTGATGCCCTCACTGGGCATGCAGGGTCTGGGATTCTCTGGCCTGCCAGCAGTGTCTGTGATTCCCTAAAAAGGATGCGAGTCCCTTTAGCTGCTAGGGTACTATCACCTGGAACCACTTAGGAATTAAATCAGATCCTGATAATAAAGTGCAAAACTGTCACAATGCTATCAGCCACAAAATGTTTCTGTCACATGCGAATAATGGGTGAGGTGGGTACATACAGTTTATGCACTAGGTGGCTCCGCAGGTCCTGGGTGACATGTTCACGCCAGCCTTTCCGAACGCCAGTGCTGGAAGTAGGTGCTGCTGCTGGTCTAGTGCTGAGGGTTCCAATGTTTCCAGAATTTGAGCCGTTCATCGTTGGGCTATGGGAAGAACAAGAACTTCAGCCATCTATGAAAGTGACTCAAATGTGCTTCATTTAAGTGAGGCCTTCAACCATATGAGACTTAAAAAGTTTAAGTTAGGAGAGCCAAGTGGTGAATGGACAACAAAATAGAAACCATGTTTCACATTTAGAAAGAATTATGGCGTTTTGTACTATTTTCTCTGCCTCACATTTAGAAAGAATTATGGTGTTTTGTGCGAGTCCCAGCCCACTTTCATGTGTGACTATCACACAGGAGCCAATTGAAACATGGGTTTTACTTTGTGGCCCCAAGGGAAGTTGGAAGAGCTGATTCTGAAATCAAGTTTGGTGGCTGCTGATCTGTTGTTATTCCTCCTGCTGGAATGCTCATTGGGTTATTTCCTTTAAAAACAGAAAAGAAATCAAATCCTAAATTATAATATACACTTAGGAGTTCAAGTCACTATATGAATAAGCAATTCTTAATGAGTATAATAACCGACACTATGGCAGGAACTCTGCAAGTTATATTTTCAATAACGGTGATTGACTTGTAATACAAGTTCAGTTGCAGACTCCTTCCCACTGTATCATATAATTAAAATAAGACAGTTTTATGGAGGCTGGATGGTATCATAAGTAACTATAAGGTGGTGGAAAAAACCAGAAATGATCCATTTTAGTTTTAGATTTTGATCCTGGCTTTATTAATATCATGCCCTAAACAATTAAACTGACTTGTCACATATGTGTCATCTATTTCTTTTGTATATCAGAAACTAAAACCATAGATACTGAGTGTAGGTGAAAAGCATAAAAGGTCAATTTGTCTACAGTATTCATCTCATAGGATAAAAGAAGTTAACAGTCTTATCCCAAATTAAACCATCAATAGGAATGGAATTAGTAATTAAAATGTAAAATCAGGTGATAAAAAAAACAATAAAATAGGTTCTTAATTAAAAGGTGAAAAAAGAATTAAAATAAAATAAAAATGTGCAGTAGTGAAGGTGCTTCAGATCTTCTACTCTTCTTTCTGGGACGCCTTAGTCCTGCCGGGCACTGAGGAGAGTGTTGGATTTCCCTGCGATACACGGTCCATCCGTGCTGTAAACCACAGTCCTGATTCTAAGGCAGGTTGTATTTGTTTACCAGACTGCCTTTATTTGTCTTTACAGAAGAGTCAGTTGGTGGCTCTGCCTCTGGGTGGCAGTGTGTCTGGACTGACCTCCGAGGCTATCAGTCCTCTCTATCAGTAGTTAGGGTTTATTTTGTCTATTGTACTTGAAACTGGTTTGGGAATGTCCACTGTCCAGAGCTGGTTACTCCCCGCTCTGTTTCCCAGGCTCCCCAAAAAGAACTTTCCCCTACAGGCTCTGCAAATGACCCCAACCGGGGAATCCCATGCACTGGGTTTAACAATCAAACGCAGGGATCTAAGGGGAACTGTAACAACAAGAGCCTGATACGTTGTGAGGATTCGCAAGCCTCCACCTTCCAGGTCTGTGCGCAGTCTCCGCGCTCCCACTCGCCCCTGGCACCAAGCAGCCGGCCAACTGGCAAAATCCCAGGCTGCTTTTTTGCATCCAGTCCCACTATGGTCTTATTTTTAGCGTTCCCTTCTGCCAGCAGCCCTGTGGGACCCCTTCCCCACTCGTGGGTCACGCTGACCCCAATGGTCGTGGACTCTGTGGGGCACAGATTTCGCCCCCATGCACGCCCGCGCCCCTCTCCCCAACCTGAATTGCAAACCGCACCTTTAGGGGAAGTCTTACCTTCCCGTGAGAAGAAGCAGTGCTCGTCTGAGTTCACGCAGTCAGTGGCGCTGCTTGAGATTGTTATGCCCAGATTTCAGGATCTAGCTGAGTCTGATGCAAAAGCAGAGAGTCTTTATTATTACAAACCCGGGTCTGGCTCCCCTACCCTCCTTACTGACACAGCAGCAGGTGGCAGAGACAGACCTAGCCCGGCGTGAAGAGGAGTTTTATAGGGGGTGGAGTAAGGGGATGGGAGGGGACTGTGGCCCCTAACAATTGGCCAGGCACAAGTCGGTGTCTCGTTACACAGGATGTGGTCATATCTATGGCATGCAGTTCCCTTGATTGTAGTTTAGAGAAATCCTGGGTGTGGCTACCAGAGGCTTGGGCTTCCGGGAAGAAGCCTTGCCGAGCACATGGCTCTGCCCAAAAATGGAGGATTCGGGGCAAGATGGAGGGCGTAGCCCAAGCCCTTTCAGAGATCCCTTGTTTCCAGGTTAGTAGCCGATCTCTGGATGCCGGTAACAGCCATTCAAGATGGCGTGGTCTCCGGGCTGAGCCGGCGCACCGGGATAGGTTTCAGCTGCAGTCTCCAACCGTCCCCTTTTTCCGGGAGTTCTCTGTGAAAGATCAGACGGAGGCCTAAAACCAGGACTACAGGCTTTATTAGAGGAGAAACCACTCGCCGGGCTGTCTCAAAAGGGGAGAACAGCAG